AAAATATTAGTTTTTGAAACCAAAACAAAAATAATCATGGAATAAACATTGAAACAAATTAATAATTAAAAAAACTGACAAAAAGTATACTTTTTATTTACGTGAAACATATAGAAACCATAATTTTGTCCAATGACATATATTAAATGCACTCACGATCTTATGTAATTTCAAATAAATAATTTCAACTTTTATATAATTTTGAGGCTCGTATGTGGTAGAAATCAAAGCGAAAAGATCATGCACGAGGCCCTTTGCGGAAAGTGGTTGTGGTCACTCCCTACTTGTGATGAGACTTACTGATTGTAATCAGATGCTGCTTGATCAGCTATTTATTACCATTGTGGTTTAAGTTGGGTTTTTGAAACTCTGTCAGATTCCATGTTATTCCAAGGATCTTCCTCGAATACCTCGGTATCATCCACCTTAATGGCAGAACTTCTTTCTCTATTTTCAGTGTTTTTTTTTCAAAAGTGTCGGATCACTTGATATGCTTCTCGGATTGCTCGGAACTTATCCTTCTTCTCAAATACGGTGGCCAAACTTTGGAGAATTATGGTCTTTTTTATTGACATTAAAGCGGCTTGTAAAGGCTTTGTGTATATCTACTTTCATCATATTCCTTTTTTAGCTAATAGTTTAACGGATAGTTTAGACTTTAGACAAGTTGGATCTTTTACGTTGTAATGACTCATTCTTTAGTAAAAGCTAACTCTATTTTTTGTTTTTCTAATTGAAATGGTTGCACACACACAAATTTTTTTTTTAATAATTATGTGAAAAAAAATTTGGATGTTAATATAGCAGTCTCAAAATATGTGTGTATATGTAAATAAAATTTACTATTTTATTTGTTCTTAATTATTTCTATAATTTTCTAATTTTAATATTATTTTAGTTTTATTATTAATATAAATTTTATACATAATTTCTTTTACTACAAGAAATCAATCGTTTTCCAACGGTCCATTACGACGGTTTAAAAATCGTCGCAAACTTACAACGATTGTACGACGATGTTACGTCAAATTAAAAAACCATCGTACAACCGTCGTACAAAAAAAACGTCGTAACTTCGACGTACAATTTACGACGAATTACGACGAATTACGATGAATATACATCGATAAAGAGAGATTTGATATTAATTGCAAAATCGTCGTAAATTATATGTAAAATTACGACGAATATACGACGACTGGTTTTCGATGTAAATGCTACGACGATTTTACGTCGACAAAGAAGTTAAGTGAAGAACATTTAAAACATGTCTACCTAACTAATGTAGATGAAAGATTTTATCGCATAATCAACGTAAAATCGTCGTAATATTATTGTTGAATGTAAAATCGTCGTAAAAAGTCAACGTAAAAGCGTCGTAAAGCCCAAAATTTTCCTATAAATAGATCTTCATTCCTTCTTTCAATCACAACACATCATCATTCAAACATAAGAGCATCATCATCCTGGAGACCCATTATAGGTCTCTTAAATTTTAGTATAGTGTTGTAAATCCTGATATATTGGGTTGTCCATTGCTGGAAACCCGAATTAGTAGTTATTTACTTTGAAAAAAAGAAGTAATAATATTAAAAGGTTACTCCATTCACGTGGCTAGACGTGACACAAGAGATCAGCTCCTTTATTGTCTAATCAATAAAAAGAGATAGTATTTTGAGTTTATTTCAAGATGTCTATATACGAGCTAAGAAGCTGGATGTATATGCGTAAAGATTCAGATGAGGCGTTGACAGAAGAGTTCAAGAACGGGATAGAAATATTTATGTATCAGGCTACAAATATGGACAGAATGAAAGATAGCGGGAAGATGTTTTGTCCTTGTTTGAAATGCAAGAATACGAGGTATACACTAACCAAAACCGTGTGGACGCATTTATTAAATACAGGGTTTATGCCGCAATATTTTGTTTGGTATCTACATGGAGAATGATATGGCAGTAATACTCATGGGAATCCTGGTAGTAGTAGTAATTATCAAAGTCATGTTGATTTTGATGAATCGAATTATGGTCATCAGCCTAATCAGTATCAATCTGATCAAAGTGTAGATCATGATAGGATGCATGAGATGGTGACTGATGCATTTAATGAAACGCATACTGGTAATGCTGTTGAGGAACCTAATGTAGATGCCAAACGATTTTATGATTTGTTAGACAATGCTAATCAGCCAATCTACGAAAGATGTAGAGAAGGCCTGTCTAAATTATCGTTGGTAGCTAGGATGATGTCAATTAAAACAGATCATAACCTGGCTGAGGTTTGCATGGATGATTGAGCTGATCTTCTGAAAGAGTATCTACCGGAGGATAACTTGGCAGCGGCAACATACTTTGAAATACAGAATTTGATTTTTAGTCTTGGTCTACCTTCTGAGATGATAGATGTATGTGTTGACAATTGTATGATTTTTTGGAAAGATGATGATAACTGGAGGAATGTCGATTTTGCCAAAAAGCAAGATACAGGCCGCAAACTGGTGGGCGTAAAAGGATACCGTACCAACGTATGTGGTATCTCCCTATAACTGATAGGTTAAAACGGCTTTATCAATCTGAAAGGACAGCTGCATCAATGAGATGGCATGCAGAACATACACAAGTAGATGGAGAAGTTGTTCATCCATCAGATGCAAAAGCATGGAAACACTTCAATATGGTATACCCAGATTTTGCTAAGTTCAAACGGAATGTCTATCTTGGTCCGTGCACTGATGGTTTTAGTCCATTTGGTATGTCTGGTAGACAATATTCATTATGGCCAGTAATCCTAACTCCTTATAACCTTCCTCCAGATTTGTGCATGCAAAGGGAATTTCTTTTCCTAAGTATTTTGGTTCCAGGTCCCAATCATCCGAAGCGAGCTCTCGATGTATTTCTGCAGCCACTCATACATGAGTTGAATTAGTTATGGTATACTGGCGTTCGCACATATGACTGTTCTACGGGAAAAAAAATTAGTATGCGGGTTGTGCTTATGTGGACAATAAGCGATTTCCCCGCTTATGGTATGCTATCAGGATGGACTACACATGGGAGGCTAACTTGTCCTTATTGTCTTCATCGAACTGATGCGTTTCAGCTAAAACATGGTAGAAAAACTTGTTGGTTTGATTGTCACCGGAGGTTTTTACCGGATAACCATCCATATCGGAGGAACAAGAGGTTATTTATAAAGAACAAAAGTGTACATGTTCCTCCACCTGTAAATTTAACATGAGCTGATATACATGCGCAAATCGATCATTGGAGGGCAGAGAAAACAGTAACGCGTGGGAGAAACTGGCACACTCCTGCAAATATACCTGAAGGTTATGGAGTTCATCATAATTGGCACAAGAAAAGTATCTTTTGTCAACTACCCTATTGGAAAGATCATCTGCTCAGACACAATCTTGATGTCATGCACATTGAAAAAACTTTTTTGATAACATCATGCATACAGTTATGAACGTAGCGGGAAGAACAAAAGACAATGGTAAGTCAAGATTGGACTTGCCTGATTTATGCAACAGAAGTGAGTTGCATATACTGAGAAACGCGAAAGCACTAGTTCCTGTATTTCGGTTGAGTGCAGATCAAAAGTCAGCATTGTTCAGATGGGTTTCTTCTGACGTTAAATTTCCTGATGGGTATGTTTCTAATCTTTCTAAATCTGTTGAGAAGAGGATAAAATTTGCCGGGATGAAAAGCCATGACTGCCATGTGTTTATGCAACGATTATTTCCATTTGCATTTGCTGAACTCTTGCCCAAAAATGTCCATGAAGTTGTTGGAGGCATTGGTGCTTTTTTCCGGGATCTTAGTACACGAACATTATCAGTTGATGTAATATCACAACTGACATTGAATATTCCAATTTTGTTGTGCAATTTGGAAAAGATCTTCCCACCATCATTTTTTGATGTTATGGAGCATCTTCCTGTTCATCTCCCTCACGAAGCAGAGCTCGGTGGACCCGTTCAGTATAGGTGGATGTATCCGTTCGAGCGTTTCATGAAGCATCTTAAGGGTAAAGCCAAAAACCTAGCTAAAGTGGAAGGCTCGATCAACAGGAATCTCATGGTTAACTGTAGTTAAAGTGGCTCCGAGGGGCAAGATTGTAGGGGTTGAGGATGTTCCACTTCAACATGACACTTGCGTAGATCTGTCTGAACTAGATGTTGATGAGGTGATTTTCTTAATTAACCCTCGCAACAGGCAAGTTGAAGATCTTCCCGATGATACAGAAGAAGAAGGTGAAGATGAGTTTGCTGAAACCGATGATGACGATTTGGCGGAAGACGACGGTGATGGTGACGAAGTAATAGAGGAAGATGAATCTGATTGAGTTTCATGCATCATATTTAGTGAATGTTTGTTATTATGTAATTTGTAACTGTGTTTGTTTGAATTTTTTAAATGGAAAAAATTTCGATTTTACGACCGTTTTACGACGATTTTTATAAACCCTAAACCCTAAGTCTAGGTTTTAAGCCCTGAATGAATAGGGTTTAAGCATTACGACGACTTTACGACGATCAGTCGTAATATCGTCGTAATATTACGACGAATTTACGACGCGTTCACAAGTCAGTCGTAAAATCGTCGTAATTTTGAAATCCAATATTTTGAATCTTTTATATCTGATTGGTTGTAAGGTATTTCACATATGTTTTTGATTGGTTATCTTATTTTATATGAAAAGCTGTCAATCTGATCAAAATCAAAAATTTGAAAAAAAACATACATATTTACAAGTTCATTCATGTTTTTGTAAATGTTAAGTAAAAGGTTATATATTAGATTAGATGATTTCAATATTTATTATCTCATGTACTAAATCCGTCATACATGCAAAGTTATAAACCTTTTGTTATATGTTAGGATACAATAAGCTTTGCGTTGTTCTTTATGCAATAAGTCTTTTGAAAGATTTAGGGTTTGATAACTTTTTACATAGACATCGTAAAACTGTCGTTCTATGGTCGTAACGGTACGATGGTTTTACGACGAATGTTCCTTAAACCGTCGTTAAACCGTCGTAACACTGATGAGGATCATACGTCTGCTAACCCCCGGATTGGCTCCAGATCCGAGGTACGAGGTAATAAATGTTGTAACGTTACGACGGTTTTACGACGGTTTAGGATTTAGTCGTCGTAAAACCGTCGTAACAGTCAAACGTTCTCATCATGACACGTGTCATGTCATGCAATGGACCGACTGTTATACAACCAAATCGTCGTAACGTTACGACGATTTTACGACGATCACAAAATCTATATAAGGGATGCGAGTTTTCCTCCTTCGTCGCTCATTCCTCTATTCTCTCTCTCTCTCTAAAAATCTCTCTCTCTCTCTACCTCTCCCTCCTCTCCCTACTCTCCAGCCACTTTGTAAGTTTTTTTAAAAAAATTATTTTCATTATAATTTTGTTTAAATATTAATAATTAGATATATATATAATTAAGAGATTTAGGGTTTAGGTTCGGAATTTAGATAGGTCCGGAATTTATAAATATATGATATAATTAGTAACTATATTTCTTTTAATTTTGTAGATTACTTAGATATGGCTCCTCGGGCAAATAGGTTCCACTACCGACAGATGGTAGATCCAGACGGTATGGCCCCGTCCACCTCAGCGACAGGGTCCGTCATTCCGGAGTCCTCGGGAACACAACGAACGGTTTCGCAACCGGTCATTGTACCACAGCCGGCACCGCCCCCACCACCACCAGCCGAACCAGCAGCCCCTGCACCAGCCGAACCAGCAGCCCCAGCACCAGCCGAACCAGCAGCCCCGATACAGCCTATACCGTATGCCCAATTTATGGTACAAGATCTTCTACGCCAACTGGGTCGTGAGAGTATGAACAAACTCGATCCGGATTGAGCCCTGGGAACATTTTGGTACGAGATTTTTTTTTTAAAAAATATTTTTTAAACAAATAATATTTATAATTAATTTAAATTAATTTAATTTTTATTTGCATTTGACTAGGTTTACGATCGACAATGCGGTCGGTCGTAACGTTGCCGACATCATCAAAGGGTTTTTCGTACAACCTCATACCAGCTGGAAGAAGCTGGATCAGGCAACTCTTGACACTTGGTTCAAGTGTTTTGCGGTAAGTACTTTAAAATTTTGATTTATATTATTATTTTTAATTTTTTACAATAATTACTAACTTTTTGTTTTTTTTCTAGCAAAACTGGCATTGAGAAACTTCCGCACACGGACGTGTGGAGACGGCCTTCAAAGAGAAGGTCAAGTTTCGCCTCAACAACACCGTTTCTGACTGGAAGCGGAAGTGGGAGGTCGACGGTGACAAGGCCAAGTCGGCGCCAATGGCCGATACCGTGTGGCGGGGTCTGGTCCAGTATTGGTTTACTCCACACAACCAGACTATTGCCGCCAAGTGTTCCACATCCAGGTATTTTAATTTGTGTTTATATTAAATTAAATTATGTGTTTTCCTCCTTAATACATTCTAATGAATATATATTTTTCAGGAACGCTACTAACGATGCGGGAAATCGGAAAAACGTCCCGCACACTTCCGGCCAGATTCCTTTTGCCGGGAGACGACTTATGATGGTAATTAAATTTAAATTATTAAGTTTTTTTTTTTAAATAATTAACTCTTACTTGTCTTATTAATATTTTCATTTTGATTTTGTAGGTCGAAGAAAACGGGGGACAACTTCCTCCAATGACGAAGGTCTTCGCCGGGACCCATAAGAAGCGGAACGGCGAATTCACGGATCCTCGGGCGGAGGATATCTACAACGCTGCCTGTGCGGCGATCGAGGAGCGGCAGACGCAACTCACTCAGCAAGCGCGTCCGACGTCTCCCGGAGGTAGCTCGGTCCATTCGACCCCAACGCTGACGGTGGCGGAGATGGACCATATTTTCGAAGAGGTAAGATCTTTTAAAAAATTTAATGTAATTTTAACTTTATATTGTACTTTTCAACATAATTTATTTACATATTTTCAGGTTGCCCCTAAGAAAAAGGGGCGGATTTTAGGGATGGGATCCATCCGTGATACCCCGGTCGCTACGACACTGGTCATGTTCGGGCACCGGATCCGCTTATCCTCCAGGAGATCGATCAGATGCGAACCAAATACGAGACGAAGATCGACCAGTTGTACGGTCTCTTCGAGATTATGGGAGCCGACAACCCGGTGCTCATGGCGCAGTTGGATCGGCTGCGGGCAGATGGAGTTGTCGGATCATCAGCTGGGTCATCTTCTAGGAGGCAACCACCGGTGCAGACGGACGAGGAGATGTTCCGGTCTCTCGGAGTTGATCCTCCTAGAGCTGGGGATCAGGCGCCGGAAGCCTCCAACCAAAGATCCGGGGATCAGGCGGCGGAAACCTCTAACCGAAGACCCGGCAAAGAACATGTGGAGCAAGACGATGGGGAGCAGGCCGGTGACGGAATCGACCTTAGTTTAGATTTAGATCTAGATCTTTAGGGATTTTTTGTAATTACTAGAATTAATTTTTATTTGAATTTTAATCAAAATTTAAATTGTAAATTAATTCTTTTTTTAATTTAAATTTTAATTCGAATTTATTTTTTTTTAATTTCAATTATACAAAACATCGTATAATCGTCGTAATATAATTATTATTATTTTAATAAACCATCGTAAATTCGTCGTAACATGTACGACGAAGTTACGACAAAATTATATGACGAATATACGTCCGTGTTTTACGACGATTTTACGACGAAATGATAAAATATTTTACGATTAAATTACGATGAAACTTGCTACGACGATCCTATGTCGATTTATAACGACGACTTTACGACGGTTTCAGTCGAAGACCAAATCAAGGCAATCCGATGTAAAGTCGTCGTAAACTGTACGACGCGTTTACGACGATATTTTTCCGTCGATGTTACGACGAAAATAAACCGTCGTAGATTTTACGACGATTTCTCTATTACGACGATGAGTTTACGACGATTTTGAAATCGTCGTTAGTTTGTCGTAATAGCCCTATTACGACGAAATAGCGACGATTTTGGCCTTTGTAAAATGGTGTTTTTCTTGTAGCGTTTATCTGTAATAATTTTTAAAAACAATAATGGAATTTGGAAACTTTTTTAATTTTCAATATTGTGGTGGACCAACAAAATTTTGATACATAATTTCCATATTTTTTATATTTGTTTTATTAGCAATAATATTAGAATTTGTAAACTTTCTTAATTTTTAATGTTAATATGGACCAATAAAATTACTTTTTTCATCATATGTGGACACTTTTAGAAGCATATAGATAGCGTCAACTTTTATTAGTAATAATAGATTTATAGAGTTATTAATTTATAAAGAGATTAATAAGATCAAAATTTAAATTTGAGACTAAAACAATTATTAGTTAATAAAGTTTATTGATTTATCCAATAATAATTTATAGAGTTTCTATTGCATAATAGAAATGAGCAATTGTGTAATCAGTTTGGCATTCTTGACATATTTCAAGTAATGCAAAAATTCAAAAAAACAAAAAGTTAAACAGTTAGAAATCAACGCAAGTTTAGAGGATGGATATATTGTGGAGCTTCTCAACGTACTATGGATGGTTTGCAATTTTTTGGGTCAATGATAGTTTCCTATCAAAATTTGGAAGTATCAGCTCTAATACATTTGCAGGTACCAAATTTTACTGCCATAATTACTTTGTAATTGTGTGTGTTTTTAATGTAATTCTTTATTTATGTTATTGATAATATTTTTATTTGTGTAGATAAATTCTCTGTAATAGCACGTCAGCACCCTTCGGCAATGTACTTAATACACTATTACTGATCACAGACATCAACATCAGTACTTTGACAAAGACTCGTTAAGACGCATAAAACTATAGCATTGCTAACTATTACTTTGGTTTTTGTAAAATAGAGAAACAAAACAAGTTTTCAGAAATAAACAAGAGAAATAATTAACTCAAGATATAGAAAATATATATATATATATATATAAATTTAGGGTTTCCGGAAGACTCTGCCGGCGAGAACTGCGGCGTCCATAACAATGGAGATGACATCAATGACTTCATCGGCATTGCATTTGTTACCATTAAAAGTCGGTAGCTTCATATTGCTGAAATTATTCATGCAATTTATGAACTTCTGACTACACTCTTGGCTTAGATAATCATCTGTGCATCAATAATAAATATGGTTAAGTCAAAATTGTAACAAATTTAGTAAAAGTGAGAGTAGAAATAGAGTGTATATATGTGGTTCATTACTATTCTTGGTTTGGACACAAGCATCATGCTTCATGCAACAAGAATCAAGACCATCACATGGTCTCTCTCCAGGACATCCACTGTACAATAGTCCACAATACTTCCCATACCTCAAAAGTGGAGGCACTGTCCAATTTCACACATTAATTTTTGTCATGTCTATACAAGTAAATTCTTTAACAAAAATCAAAAATTGATCTTGCTTAGAGTTTGTTCACCTGAACAGAACTCCGATTCACATTTCCGGCTACATTCTTTGCTCTGCCAAAACAAATTAAATTCTAGCGGTGATCGATCGGTACAAATAGGAATTAAACCAAATGACATATCACGTATCAAATCCCACTTAGTCAGAATATGAAAGAAGAAGATGAAATGGGGGAAAATTAGGTTATTCTCACATTGTCTTGTTACATAAATCCTCAGATAGACATAGAGAATTTTTGGTCTAATCATCAAACCAATCATAGCTACACGGTTTACCTAAACCGACTACTCTGATATTCTAGTAGATAACTGCATTAAAAATATGAAAGAAACATGATCTGACCAGGGAAATGGTGGGATGTGTGAGCTGAACACCGACGTTAAGTGCAGAGACGGAGACAGAGAAGAAGAAGAAAAGGAAAGGGAAAAGTATGATCGGAGCCGCCATTAATGAAAAGATAAAAACCACTGAAAAAGCTCGGAAAGTGAGAAGAATATATATTTTGGTTTTGCTGGAAAATAAAATGAGAAAGGAGGAAGGTAGAGGACGAAGAGTCTGTGACTCTGTGTTTGGTCTTTTATTTGTCGTCTTATGTCTCGTGATTCATTTGTTTGTGATGGCTAATATTGAATTTCCATATTACCCTTATCTCTAATCCTTTCGTCTTCTTTAGTCCTTGCTCGTTTTATCACATATTCAATTTTACAATGTTCTTATGTATTTAATTAGTTTTGCTCAGACATAATTATATCCAAACTACCACCATAACAATACAGCTCATCATCATTAATATTATATTCTTAAATACTAAGAGTCTAGACAATAAAGTGGTCATCAGAAAAAAACAAAAATCGGTAGAACAGCTTCAGCGAAAACAATTGGACTTCAGACTATGCATAAGTTTGAACGTGTTAAAGAAGAACCAATACCTCGAAAAATCATAGAATTTATGCGAAGTGAGTATGGATGCGAGATCCCCTACCAACATGCTTGGGATGCGCGTGAATATGCAGTTAGTGTTGCTAGAAGAATAGCAGAGAAAGGCTATGGTAAAATTCTCAAATATTTGCACATATTGAAACAAGCTAATCCGGGTACGCATACTCATTTCAAAACTGATTCCGATAATAGATTCAAATATCTATTTATTTTTTTCGGCCAGTCGATTAGAGGTTTCTATAAAGCCATGCGTAGGGTTATTGTTGTTGATGGCACGTTTTTGAAAAGCAAATACAAAGGTGTGCTGCTTGTTGCTACAGATTTAGATGGTGACTCCAACTTGTATCAAATAGCATTTGGGGTTGTTGATTCAGAGAATGATCGGTCTTGGGAGTGGTTTTTCAGGCAACTCTTGGTCGTTATAGCTGATGGGCAAGGTGTACCTTTTGTGTCAGATAGAAATTTGTCTGTTTCTAAAGCACTTGCTAAAGTTTACCCGCACTCTTCACATGGAATTTGCAAACATCATTTGTTGAGTAATGTGGCATTCCATTTCAAGACAAAGGGTTTGGTTGGTTTAATTGCAAAAGCGTCTAAAGAATATATGGTTTCTGAATTTGAGAGGAGATTCAACGATATTTGCAACATTAGTCCGCTCGTTGCAAAATATTTGATGGAAGCTGGTGTAGAAAAGTGGGCGCGATGTAGATTTTCTGGATTCAGATATGACATTCGAACCACTAACCCAACTGAGTTGCTGAATTCTGTTCTGCGAGCACCCAGAGAGTTCTCTGTCATTCCTTTGTTGGACAGCATCAGAGAAATGTTAACACAATGGTTTTATGATCGTAGAAGAGTAATCTCAAAGCATAATTCCCCCTTAACTATTGAGATCGAGAAAAAAATTTACAGGAGGATTGAGAAAGATAAATCATTTCGGGTTCATCCAGTAAAAAATTTACAGGAGGATTGAGAAAGATAAATCATTTCGGGTTCATCCAGTTACCTTTAATCGATTTTTGGTTAGAGGAGACAAATTCGATTGTGTAGTTGACTTGGAGCTAAGGTCGTGTACTAGTGGGAAGTACACACTGTTAAAAATTCCTTGCAGACATGCCATCAAAGCTGGTTTTTTGGTGAACAAGGAACCACATACACTTACGGATGCAAGGTCTACTATAACAATCTTAATCTCCTTTTGCAATATTCGATTTTTTTTTCTTACCTTGAAAATACATTGCATTCTAGGTATACCTCTGTCGTATGGAGAATAGCTTACAAAGAAAGCATTAATCCAATAGGTGTTCCTGAGGATGCATGGGTCGTCCCATTGGGCATTGAAAATTCCAAAGTTCTTGCACCAGAAACACGGAGAGCAGCTGGTAGACGACGCAAGCAAATATATGAGACGGTGGAAGACGTGATACTTAATTCACAGGGATCACAGAGGACTAAAAAACATAAGTGTAGTCGTTGTGGTTTGGAAGGACACAAGAGAGGGACATGTGACATGCCTATCTAGGCATCTCTTTTCAGTTTGAGCCACCAAACTTTGTTTTTCTAGGGTTAGGCGATGGAGATGGGGATTCTTCCCCAGATCCATTGTTCTTTCTCCTTTTTATCTTATTAACTTTTCTGTTTCATTCTTTTGCATTCTTATATGTCTTTCATCATTCATTGCATCATGTAGATTAGTCCCAGAGAGTCAAGTTGTTTGAAGATATCGACAAGCATATATATCGATTAGGATTTCTATTGTTCTTAGCCATATTCTGGATCTCATCTCTTCTAAGTTATTCGTAAAGCATGAGAGTAGATTCATGACCTATTCTCTGAGCCTAGGATCGATCAGAGCCACGAGAGTGCTGTATCAGATCATCTGTACCTAGCTTCAGAAGAACATAGTCGCTATAGGAGTCGAAAGCTACCTATAGAGAAGATGTGAGCAGACGAATTCAGTGTCCAATGCATGATCTTAAGTTTAGCATGAGAGCGAGAGTTAATTGCTAGATCTAAGAGATTAATTGATTAAGGTGACGACTGTTGGTTAATCATACATGTGTCTATTCTAGTTCAATGCAGATTCCCAGAAACAGATGAAGATAAATCACCTGGAAGCTAAATGGAAATGCCACCATACATCGATTAGAGTAAACCGGAGAAGTCTAAATCACCACCTATGAGTTCAAAAGTCTTTAGTTTGAGTCGATATGCTTTAGATGTTCTTTTAACAATTCATCCTGCATTGTATTTCTTGTGAATACTAGATTAGGTTTAGTTTAGGATCTTAACCAAAAACCCCAAATCTTTTATTGGTTATGATGTTTGCTTACTTCCCAGTTTGTTGTTTCTTGCAGATTAGACATCCTCCCTGTGGATCGACACCCTAAGTCCTACAACGTACATCTGTGCACTTGCAGACACTTGGGTTTTATAAATTTAAAATTTAAGGAGGACCAACGGGCTTGTTAAATCTCGAATGATGATTCAGGAACGAAAACCAAATTGTAATCAGGATCATCTTCTCTATATCCATTATTTGGAAATGTGGGTATTTTTGAATTTTTTTCCCTCGAAGGCAACGACTTCTTGACTGTGGGTACTGGCGGTTTATATTCTAATGGCTGTGAAGCAGGTGTTAGTTCAAACCCATTAACAAACGAATCTTGAGATAGATGGCCTAACGCCTTTTCAAGGAACTCCTGGGTACTTAATCCTAAATTAATGTCTGATAACTGAGTCAAGTGGACATCATGGAGATCAGCCAAAGGCCCATCGTTTTTAACGGCCTGTAAATACAAAAAAAATATGAGACATTGTTAACATCATTATTGAACAATGAAGGACATCATCAATAAAAAAAAAAAAACAGACAAAAATAACACAAAACCAAATATTTTACAAAACACAAGTAAATATGTCACATACAACTTTTACAAGACAACATAGATATTACATTTTAAATAATTGTTCAGTTATAAATATAACAATACGAAGGAAATCCCTAAATGAGAGTTATATTCGATAGACTAGTAAATCATCGCTTAGAGTTTCTTGTCTTTCGTACCGTTTTTGGAAGTGGAACAGTCTCAGGATTGGTGAGTAAAGCACTTGTAGTTGGTTCCCTGATCTTGTTGCATTGATGGGTGGAGCACTTGGAGCCGGTTCTCCTATCTTCATTGTCAACTCATGATGAGGCCATTCAAGCTGAACCAGACTTAACCAAGCCGCAACTACAAGAAGTGGAAGTACCAATCATTCATCAAGGGCCAATAACAAGACAAAGAGCAAAGGTCCTTCAACACAAGTACAACCAAAGCATGTTACAAGCCATATCTCAAGTGGATCAAACAAGGTCGCAAGAAGACCAAGAAAATGAGCCACATAATAACGCCCATCAACAACAAGCTTGGACTGGATTACTTGAAGAATGCCAAGAGCTAGCAAACGGCCCAGCTTCAAAGAGTCAAGATATTTGGCCCCTTTTACCAAATCAAGCCCAAGTCTACATGCTGATTATCTCGCCAATGAACCAAGACACTTAAGAGGGAAGATTCAAGTCTAGTCAAAGACACACTAGTCTCGGGCACCAAATCAGGTAAGCGTTCAATCAAGATTTATTCCTTTGACTAACTAAGTTTCTTGTCTTTGATCTTATGCAGGGACAATTTAGTTTAGTAGTCTTTTATTTCCTTTTTTGAGTCCTTTAATGTAGCATTTTAATTTACAAGTCATGTTGTTTTGAGTCTTTACTTTTAAAAGTCATGTTGTTTTGAGTCTTTACTTTTAAAAGTCCTGTTGTTTTGAGTCTTTTTATTTCTTTGAGTCTAAGCTGCTAGGACCATCATATAAGATCCCATTACAGCCTTGTAATTTTTCACCTTTCATATCAATAAAAATTGAACTTTCTTCAAACCAGTTTTCTTTGAGAGAAACTTTTTTACCCATTTGTTCTAGTTGAGACCAGTACCTCCTAGATCAAAGTTCTTGTGTTTTATCACAAGTCTTACACAACTTGTGTGGTACACTTTGATCCACCTAGTCACTTAGCCACCACATCGATTCACTTGTCTAGAGTTGCTCATTCATTTGAATCAACCCTTGGCCATCGACCTAAAGCTTTGCTTCCGATTATGTAGAAGTCCTTGACAACTTGGTGCTTTTATCATTTTTGGTATCAGAGCTGAAGTTCCTTCAGCCCAGGTTTTATCTCATTATAGTTGCATCTAGTTTCCAATAATCATATTCATTCTGTTAAAAAAAAAAGAATTTAGTTCACATTATATCATCTTGTTTGCATCATTTTCCATTAGTTCATCGTTAAATTATTTTATCATCAAAGTTAAAAAAAAAAAAGAACTCATCATAACATCTCATTGTTCATCGTGTATCTGAGTCTTGTCCTAAGTTTTTGCATCAAAGAAAAGTAAAAAAAAATTAGCCCTGAATTGTTGTGTTGATTTTCCAAACTTGAGTGCATTAGTCAATATTTCCATATTTGTTTCAATCACTCTTTGACTCACAAACTCGTTTAAATTCTAATTTATTTAGACAAATTTTTTTTCCTTAAGTAATTCAATTAGAGTCTGTCATTATAAAATCAAAAAAAAAAGAGAAAGCATAATTTACATTTTTTTGATAATTCAGACTTGACATATTTATTCTCTTATTTCTTGAACGAGCTTTTTGAGATGGGGGAGATTTTCTAAAAAATTAGGAAACAGAAAATAATTAACTTTTTTCTCATAAAAAGTAGGAAAGAAAAAAAGAATAAACATATTTATTTCTAGGTATATAAACGCGTGTAAATACTTTTTTGTTGGGACCACATAGTATTTGTGTCTATTTCTCTCTCTAAGAGACATATCTCTATATCCCTATCTCTCTATAAGACATAGTGCTAACTTTGGAGTTTTGAAAATATGGCCCCACCAAAACTACTCAAAAACTAATAAAAACTTAAAACTATCCATTTTTCAAATAAAACTTAAAAAGTACCCTATTCTCAAACATACCCTAATTTTTAATCTCATTGAATAGTTCAAGATTTTTTTTTCAAAATATTTGATGTTATAAGATATGATTTTTTACAACACAGTTTGAACTTTTTTAAAAGCTAGAGAGCAGTCATTTGAAAACTAATTTGTGCGAGTAGCAAACCAAGTGACCAGTCCTTCGTATTTCTTCCTCCAATCCTCTTGCAGTGTGCTTAACCTGTTTCTAATTGTGACATCAATCATCTTTTTAAGGATCCGGTGAGTGTTTGGGTTTTCTTTATGCCGCCGATTGTTTCTTTCGTGCCAGATGTGATGGATTGCTGTTTGGAATTCATAGCGGAACAGAAAGACGTTATGCAATTGTAGGTTGGTTTGGTTGCCATTTTCAATATCTCCTCCCAGTCAGCTGTTAAACTCTGTTTCGTGATTCCTCCCACGAAATTTTCCTAGATTTTCCTGTGGTTCGTTACAGAATGAGCAGCCAGTATGAACATTGATGTTCCAGGATTCAATTATATCCCTGTTCGAGAATTTAAAAACATGTTCGATGGGTTTAAACAAACATAGAAAAAAATAATTTTTTTTCTCAAATACCATCATTTAAGATGGTATTTACATCTATTTTTTTCAACTATAAACTGCATTTCAAATAATTGTAAATCATTTTTGATATATTAATTGGAAATCTCTATATTTCAATAATTTGTTTAAATGTCTAATCCAGTAACTTTGGATTTCAGATAATTGATATGAGTTTTGGGGAGGGGGGTGGGGAATTAAAATCATCGGTTCATTATTCCAATATCCCCCCCGCCTAATATTTTGTTAGGAGAGTAGTTATGTGAATTTGTTTTGTTCATTATAATAAAATTATATATTACATTAATTTTGTAAACAATACATGAAATGCCGTTAATTAACATCTAGTAATTTTATTTGGAGAATTAAATTAAATGTAAATTTTATCTAAAATTCA